CGTAGCATGGTGTCAACGATCATGGTATCAACAAACAGTTTTTCTAAGTTTTTGTTGACACCATGATCATCCAAAAATAAAAAATTCTGACCCTTCTGAAAAATGATCACGGTGTCAACGATCACGACATCAACGAAACTTAAAACTTGCCTCAATAACACCTTTTAAATTTCAAGTCTTGTTTTTCTTGTGTTATTTACTCTAACCTAACTTAACCTAACCTAACCTAACCTAACCTAACCTTACCTAACCTAACCTTACCCAACTTCACCTTAAAATACCTATCCCACTTTCACAGAGCTTAACTTTCCCCGACCTTACCCTACATAACTTTAACCTTACCTACTTAATCTAACCGTACATGACCTGACCTAAACTAACCTAATCCAACTATACGTGACCCAGACCTCTCCTGTACACTTAATTTTTTAATTTTACTCACAAGGAAGATATTTTTCTGTTTGTTGACACCGTGATCGTTGACACCATGCTCAGGGCCCATTTTCGTGTTTTAATGCCTGATCACGACGTCAACAATCGTTGACTCCATGATCAGATTTTTGGTTTGTTGACACCATGATCGTTGCCACCATGCAACGTTACCGAATTGAACCCGGGATATCAAGAAGACAAGGGAGACGCGATGTCAACTGCTCCACCGCGTCAGCTTGAGCTGTTTGCCTCAATTCAAGGTTTGTGAACAAAATATTACCACAGTTATATAAAGTATAAAAATGTTAAAAATGGATTTTTCCTGAAGAATATTAGCATTTTTGCACTCAGCGACCCTAAAAACCCCTGAAAACTCATGTTGCGAGGTTTAAACATATATATCTGATTTAATGCCGCTTAAACCGGCTATTCGGACCATAGTGCGCCGCGGCTCGGCTCGGCTCACGCTGGTCCCTCGTCTTTCGAACAAACCAAGGTTCCAATTTTGGCTTTTTTCTTTGCAGTGAAAATATTTTTAAAAGCAGAATTTGAGGACTTTTTCGGCAAAATGGCGAATGGAGCTTGCTATGCTGCTATGATTGCGCAAGTTTCATAGCGTTCGCGGCAAATGAAATTCATTCACAGTCAATGTACGTCCTTACAATCGCCAGGAAAAACTAAAGAATAATCATGGTTTTTCTTGAACTAGTCAATGGTGCATTTAAAAATGCACTCATCATGTGACAACTCTGCGAAGGGCTTGTTTTGAGGAGAAAGACGATTTTTCCGGAAAACAAAAAGAGTGGACCGCGAGGTCACTCCCATTCATTTCGGAGGGTTGAAGAGACAATCAGACGGGAGAAAGGAGAAAGGATGGCCGCAGTGCCCAAGGCTACTTGCTGAAGAGCCTCATGCCGACCGCGGGAGGGCTCAGAAGGCAGCGGCTAAGGATTTTGAGAACGGGCTAGATTTTTCACATTTCACGCGGGGTTTGGGAATATGCGCCCGGGTCAGCATCTCCCCCTAAAGGCGCAATTCCGCTGGGCGTTCGCTAACCGAATTTCGGCGGCGAATTGGACGCAGCTTGGCTCCGAAAGCGGTGTTGCGTGCCATTCGTATAGAGCGGTCCGCTGGTCGAC